TACAAGAAAATCCCTTTAGATTCTAAAACACAGATTAATTGAAAGTAAAAGGATGGAAAAGCATGTTCTACACAAACAACAGCCAAAGAGATCTAGATTGGCTACATTTATAACAGAGGGGATAAATAATAAGAAATTAAGGCTTCAAAAGACAAATGACATTATATAATGACAAAAGAATGAATTCATCAAGAATATATAAAAATTACAAACATTATATAATGACAAAAGAATCAATTAATCAAGAATATGTAAAAATTGTAACTATACACATGTAATAAAAGATTTCTAAAATATGTGAATTATAGAGTGAAAAAAATTGAAGGGAGAAATTAATGGTTCAAAAATATTAGTTAAAGAGTTCAGTGTCCCACCTTAAAAAAATGAATATAACAAGGCAAGGCACGATGGCTCAAACCTGTAATCACAGCAGTTTGGAGGCTGAGGCAGTGAATCACCTGACGTCATCAGTTCATTATCATCCTGGCCAACATGGTGAAACCCTGTCTCTATTAAAAAATACAAAAAAAAAAAAAAAAAGAAAAACAAAAGGAAAGAAAAGAAAAAATTAGCTGGGCATGGTGGTGAGCACCTGTAATCCCAGCTATTCAGAAGACTGAGGCAGGAGAATTACTTGAACCTACTAGGTAGAGGTTGTAGTTAGCTGAGATCACAGCATTGCACTTCAGCTTGGGTGACAGAGCAAGACTCCATATCAAATTTAAAAAGAAAAAGAATATAACTAGACAGAAGATCAGCAAAAATTAGAAGATTTGAATAAGGAATATACCAACTAGACCTAACATACTCCACCCATAAAAAGCAGAATGCACATATTTCTCAAATGGACATGGAACATTCTCTAGGATGATAATGCATTAGACCATTAACCGAGTCTCAATAAATTCAAAGATTGAATTATTACAAAGTATGGTGTTAATACTACAATGGAATAGAATTAAAAATCAATAAAGAGGAAAATTTAGAAAATGTACAAATATGTAAACATTAAACAAGACATTTCTGAATTACCATGGAATCAAAGAAGAAATCACAAGAGGTATTAGAAAATACTTTAATATGAATGAAAAGAAAAAGATAATGTAACTTATGGAAAATAACAAGGTCGGTTCTTAAAGAGAAATTTGTATCCCTAACCTCTTGTTAAAAAGAGAAAAAATAATTCTCAAATCAAAAACTTAGCCATCCTCCTTGAAAAGTAGAAAAGAGAAAACTAAATCCAAAGCAAGAGGAAGAAAAATAAGTGTTAGAGATAAATTGTAGAGAAAACAGAAATAACAATAGAAAAAATTACCACACAAACATAAGTTGGTTATTTAACAGATCAATAATATTGACTTACTTTTAGCTACAATGACCAAGAAAAAAAAAAAGAAAAAAATCAGTTTGCTAAAATCAAGAAAGCAGATGGGATCTCACTTCTGACCGTAGACAAATTATATATGTAATGCTACATATGTATCAGTTAGAGAATATATATATATATGTAATTCTATATATGCATCAGTTAGAGAATATATAAACAGTGACCAGGCTCATGCCTATAATCCTAGCACTTTGGGAGGCTTAGGTGGGCAGATCACGCACTTGAGGCCAGGAGTTTGAGACCAGCCAGGCAAATACGACAAAACACTGTCTCTACTAAAAATACAAAAATTAGCTGAGCATAGTAGTGTGCTCCTGTATACCCAGCTACTCGGGAGTCTGAGGCACAAGAATCATTTGAACCCGGGAGGTGGAGGTTGTGCCGAACTAAGATCATACTACTGTATTTCAGCCTGGGTAAAATATATACATATATATGTGTGTGTGTGTGTGTGTGTGTGTGTGTGTGTGTGTGTGTGTGTGTGTGTGTGTATGTATATATGTGTGTGTATATATATATGTTAGGGAGACATAAATGTGTGTGTGTGTGTGTGTGTGTGTGTGTGTGTATGTGTATAAAATAACTCTGGGAACAATTGTTATGTCAAAAATTTAGATAATCTAAATTAAATATAACCATTCCTAGAAACTACAAATGACCAAAATTTACTCAAGATTCTGAATAACCCTATAATAAATAAAGCTATGAATTTAGTAAACAAAAAAACGTTCAATCAAGACAACCTCAAGGTCAAATGGCTTCACTGGTGAATTTTACCAAACATATAAAGAATTAACAAAAATCTTTCTCAAAATCTTCCAAAAAATAGATGAGAAGGAAACATTTCCTGACTCATTTTATAAGGCTGTATTAATAAGATGCCAAAATAGAGAAACAAATCACAATAAAAAACCTAGAGATCCAAGTTCCTTACAGATATAGATGCAGATGCCCTCAATAAAATAATAGCAAACTAAAATCAGCTACATGATAAAGTGGGATTAATTCCAGAAATGCAAAGTTGATTCAGCATTAAAAAATCAAACAAATATAATACAACATATTTATGGAAAAGGAAAAAAGTAAAAATGCAAACAATCATAGGTGAAGGATTAAACTTTCTCCCTAACATCACAAATAAGACACAGATGTCTGCTCTCACCAATTCTATTCAATGTTATACTACAGTTTCTAGCTAGGGCAATTAGGCAATAAAAATAAAAATATAGAAATTGGAAAGGAAGAAGTAAAACTCTATTTGCAGATGACATGATCATATTTATAGAAGATCTTAATAAACCACATCAAAATTGTTACATCTATTAAACAAATTTAGCAAAGATTTAGGCTACAAAACCAACATACAAAAAGTCAGTTGTGTTTTTGTACAAAAGCAATGAACAATCTGGACAGAAAGTTAAGAAAATCAATCCATTGGCATTAGCATCCAAACAAATACAGTATCTATAAATAAATGTAACCAAGGAGATGAAAGATGTATACACTAAAAACTATAGAATATTGCTGCATGAAATTAAAGAAGTCCTAAACAAATGGAAATGTTTATGTGAAAGAGAGAGAGGGAGAGAGAGAGAGAAAACCTAGTGGAAATATATCCTATGTCCAAAGATTGAAAGCTTTAATATGATTAAAATGGCATTACTATCAAATAGCATGAGCAGATTCAATGAAATACCTATCAAAATTCCAATGACTTCTTTTGCAAAAATGAACAAAATGGCCATAACAACATATGGAAATGTAAGGGACCCTGAATAGCCAAAACCATATTGAAAAAGACAAAGAATGATGAATAAGAGTAAGAGGAGACTCAAACTTCTTGATTTCAAGTTACTCTAAAGATATAGTCATCAAAACAGTGTGAAACTTGACTAAGGATAAATATGTAGATCAATGGTATAAAATTTGGAGTACAGAGATTGAACTCACATATCTATTGTCAATTGGTTCTCAACAAAGTGTGCAAGACAATTGAATGGGGAAACAAGTCTTTTTAGCAAATGGTGCTGGGACAACTGGCTATCTGGGTGCAAAAGAATGAATTTGGATGTCTACCTTACACTCTCACACAAAAATGAACTAAAGGCGCACTAGTAATACCTCAAACTGTAAAACTCATAAAAAAATGTAGGCCTAAATCTTCATAACCTTCAATTAGACAACAGTTTCTTAGCTATGACACCAATTTGTAATACCCCATATCATCCTAAATACAAGGAGGGTATCAAATTTTTAAAGTTTTGGTAACATTTTGATGATACTATTGCTTTTGAAATGTATCTTATTGTTTGGTTTGTATTTCTTTACTGCTGCTGTTGATTTGCTATTTTTATTTCCTATATTGTGTATGTATATGTATGTGTATATATATATATATATTTATATATATATATATGCATATGTATATCTGTCTTATATTCTACCCTTTTGTACAAAAATTTCAACGAAGAACAGCATATCAATTTAAAACCTTTCACAACTTAGCATGTGCAAGCACAATATGTTTCTGTAAATGCTGATTTTAATAACTCACCAGTGAAATAAAGTTCCTTTTTTGCTTTCGTTTTTACCATTATTATCATATGGTATTTTTAGAGGCATTCACTCATGATTTACTAGAATTATTGATATTTTAAATTACTTACTGCATTCTTAATAAATAAAAATACTGATTTAATGAATAAAAATACTGATTTATCCTAAAGGAAAATAAAATACAAAGAACCTTTAAGTATGAATGAATATTTCTTTAACATTTTCATACTTTCTTTTAATTTAATGTACCTCCAGTGCACATAATTAAACTTATATTGAATTCCAGATAAAGCAGGTTATTGTAGCCATTTTGAGGACTTACAATGCAATTTACCTCCTGAATTATGGCCTTCTTTTCTCTTAACAATTGTGACTTCCCTTACCACTGTCAGAAAAGCTGTATGTTAAAAGGAAAAGATATATTCTTTTTAAACAAAGAAAATTATGAAATAATGAATTATATTTTATGATGTTTTGTTTTTAGTGGCTTGCTTTATATCTTAAAGATTCTAAGTTATGTTATAAAAGATAATTATGTTCTCATAATGTCCTGATAATCCAGAATTAATTTCATACTTAGTCATGCTTGAAGTATTTTTAAATCAGTTTCTTCATGATAACTTATGTGGATTATTGGTCCATTGCTTAACATGATTCAAGTAAATGATGAACAAATTAATGTAAAGCTTTTATAATATTTAAAAAAAATAATGTTGATTGGCAATGGGTCCATTTAACATGCCTGTTTTTCCCTGTAGGTAATTCTAAATCAGTATCCCCAGTCATTTTAACCCCATTAGTACTTAGAGGAAAAAGGATTTATTTTTATACAAAAATGGGAACCAAAAGCATTTTCAGAGTCATTACTTCCAGAAGTATTATAACCATTTAAGATAATTGACTTTACACTGTATTCTAGTATTTACTGATTTATTTACTATTTTTTAGTGGATAAAATTAGCAAAAATATTGGGAATAGAGTGAGAAGAAAAACTACTTCTCATGCTGTCCTGCTAGTACCTATTGATGTTTTCAGTTCCCATCTTTTATTTTGCAGGAGTAACAACTGTCCTAACAATGACAACTCTAAGCATTAGTGCTCGGAATTCTCTCCCCAAAGTGGCTTATGCGACTGCCATGGACTGGTTTATTGCTGTTTGTTATGCATTTGTGTTCTCTGCCCTAATTGAGTTTGCAACTGTTAATTACTTCACCAAAAGAGGATGGGCTTGGGATGGGAAGAGTGTAGTAAATGACAAGGTAAGTGAGAACTTCCATGTTATCATTATTAAGAAAATCCCCTAATGAATTCAGCTTGTAACAGATATGTTTCTAAAAACTGACATTAAAGACATCTATCTATCTCTATATAAGCTAGAATCATATTAATTTCTTTTAAAGTGTTCTTTTCTGAAACCCTTTAGGACTGCTTGCAGTAGTAATATTTCCATTAACACCACTCTGTAGCATTTGTTGAGCTCTATGTGTCAGGTACTGTGCTAAGTGTTTTACGTATGCTCGCTCACAAAATCTTTATAGCATCCTTATTACTAGACTGTCTTCTTAATTCTCATTTTTACTGATAAATAAGCAAAACAGTAAAGTTATTTACTTGCCCACCTCACACAACTTGTTAGTAGGTGTACTTGAATCCACATCTGCCTGTCTGACGATTGAGTTTATAGTTTTAGCACCACATTGCATTATTATAAAGAGATTGGAAAAAGAAAATGGGCATTTATTTTACCTATATTAGAATTCCAGGCTCTAGCAATGGTTTGAATCCACTTCACCTGTTCCAGTCTCTGTTGATTGATTGTAAAAGGCCATATAGCACTTTTTATCTCTCCATATTGTATGGAATAAATTTGTGGGTGCTGGAATGCCTAAGAATTTTATGTTGCTCATACAGTCTAAAAGAGAAAAGTTATTTGTTTTTAAGATTAACTTATTTTGAGATTATTGCTGTCCATTTTTAGGTTTCAAGTACTGAATCTAATGGGAGATTTGTGGAATGACATAACAGCTGCTTCCTTTCATACTCTATAGATTATTTATCTGCCTTAAGATATCGTAATGATCTGTATTCTTATTAGTAAAATGTATTCAGAGAATTTCTTTAACACTGTATTCACCTAAATGCTTCTTTTATTACATTTGGAGTAACTTACTTGCAGATTTGATTTTTTTCTCAGTTATTTGAATATAATATTTTTCATTTCTATGACTATATCACAGTTTAAACATACAAGCTGTAAATGTTATAGTTTAAAAGTCTTGCTCTTTTTCCTTAATTTTGTGAGCCATAGAAATTTTAATGAGACAGATGGTTCATTTAATTTTATAAGTTGTGTTTTGCCTACTAATAGAGCCAACAAATAAATAGGAAAAGGAATCTTATCAATTTTATATGCTTAACTTTTGGGCTGTTTCAGCCTTTCCATTACATTTTAATGTTGATTTATGTTTTCATTGCCCATATAGTATGCTGCTTTTTAATGGTATCTATGCAATTATTTTTCAAGCTATATTGATTATACATGCACTTTCATACTAATTTTGGGGGGATAAAATATTAGATATTTGTAAATAAATCACAAAAGATAAATGCTTTGTGCCATGAATTCCCATATGTAAATTTATTGATATATTGTTTTAATATTAGAGAATGCCAAATTAACATTATGAAATGATATGCCTTCTCAACTCTTGACCTTGGAAAACAGAAGTACCTCTAAATGTGAAAAACAAATAATTCATAATATTTTATAAAAGCAATAACTTACTACTCATGAATAGTGGATTTAAGTCTACCCATATGCCAAGTTACACATAGGCAGGATAAATTTATGTCAAAATCACTGAGATCCCAACCTAATTTTCAGGAAAAGAGCTAACAGTGTGTATGTTAGCTTGGTTTAGTTCAGGAGAACTTGTTCTCATATACTTTTCCATAGCTAGAGTGCCCAGCACAGTGCCTAGTCCTTAGCAGACATTTTAGAAATATTTATTGTATGAAAGAATAAATGAGTGTCTGATCTTAAATCTGAAAATGTAGTATCAGTGGAAAAACTTCTTTGCCTTCATGGAAAGCTTTTTAAAAAGCTTATAATAAATTTACCAATGGGTACTCTATCCAATTTCATGATTCAGATGAGTTTTGAGAGTTGTTTCATAAATTACCCTAGGTATAAGAACTAAAAACTCCTTAAAACTAAAAGGAAATTAAGAAGAGTGCATTAAAGTAGCCTATCTGTCTAAAAGATTTTTCACTGTAATATACTTTGACCTTAATATTTCTTAGACTTAATTTTAAGTAGAAAATTATGATTTTCTTTAAATAGAAAGTTTTTGTCCACAGGCTGTTTTCCGTGTCCTTTCTGATTAACTGGGCTTATGGAAAGCCTTTTGTTTTGCCATTAGTAAACATGAGCAAATGTAGTTATCTGTCAATCAAACAAGCACATGAAAAGTTATTTGAAAATTCATAAAATACCAAGCATCAATTTGCCCCATAAGAATAATGATTCAGCTACTTATTGTATGTTTTAAGAAAAAGACATAGGTCTTTAACCTGTCTACATGTGGATTGTGCAGTCAACATATTACATTTAGAATGTGCATTGATACTTAAATTTAGTTTTTGCAAATAAATAAATAAATACTCTCAGTTATATTCAAGCTACTTTTGAGCCCTATGTTAACAGGCAAAGCTACCTTGCTCTGTGAGCTTGGGCAGGACTTTACACTACTTTTAGCGTCAGTTCTGAAATTAGGCGAGAAAACCTTATTATTAGAAAAATGCAGTACTGGATCAGATTATCCAACTCCAAATTTTTATGCCTTTTCATATACAAAAGTATCAATGCAACTCCAGGCTCTTATGGAACTTTCCTTCATATCCGATGGTCCTCCTTTTCTCTTTCTGCTCAATACAAATTCTTTTGCCCCAGCTCTTGATTTGATCTCTTCCATTCTTGTTGCTTTCTCAAACCTTCTCATTAGTTATTGTTTCTTATTTTATGTCTCAAAAGCTATCTTATTCTTTTCAATTGCCTCCTTTCTTTCAGCGTATGAAAATGCTTAATATGCTTAATTTACTAAGAGAAAAATTTTTTCCAGTCCTATGCCACTTTCTTTCCATATCCTCAGATTCTACCCTCTGTTCTATATTCAAACTTTAAAAAAAATATGTTATCTTATCACTTTCCCCTTAATCCAGACCCACTATAATCTAATTTCCTTTTCACTTGCCATTTTCTAACTGAAGGGCACAAATAACCTTATATTTTAAGATCGGATATTTTTTCTGTTTTTCTCAAGGAATCCCCATTAAAACTTTTTACTGTTATATTCCAGAATCATACTTCAGACCCAGCTCAGCAACTTTTCCTCTTCTTTTCTTTCTGAAATCAAGCTTCAGAATATCAGCTTTCTTTGCTCACATCCTGGCAGCTGCCTGTATCCATTTTATGTTTTTTGATTCTCTGCCAGAGTTCAGAGTGGACCTAGCTTCCCTGGCATCTGTTCTTGTTTATCCCCAAAGACAGTCAATTCTACTTTCTTCAACACAGTTTTTGTTTTCAGTATTCACTGTGTGATTTTCACTTTAAGGGTTTTACTGACAATGTTTGCATGAATATCTGCAACACTAAGCATACTGTCCTGCCATTTACCATCCTCAGCACAAATATCTTTTCCTCAGGAAAATTTTGAGTCCTCCCTTGCCCTTATAAATGATTAAGTCTCGATTACAAGTGTGTACAGAATTTTGTTCTTTTGCCTTAGAGCCCTTATTGTAGTTGCATATTGCATGTTTCTGTCTCAACTCCTCACTGATTATAACAATTACCATATTTGTTTAATAAATTTCTTCTTTTGTAATAAATGTCCAAGGCATTTTATACAGGCCCTTTCATGTATTAGGTGCTCAGTAAATATGGTATGAGTTAAGGAAGTATTACAAAATTAAAATTTAAAACCCATGCCTTTATTTTACTATTCAAGGTCATTATCAGTAAGTATACTGTAGCTTTTAACTTACAAGATCATGTATCTAACCTGTTCCTGGCACATTTTTACCTGAATATAATATCTCATTCTCAATCTCAACCTGAATATGACATATCTGTTTTATGAAGTATTAAAGAAATAACACAAGCAAAGACAATACAGTATCCTAAACTGATGTTATATCTTTCCACTGCTTATACTCAGTTATTCATCAGTAATTGGTACCTCAGTTAATGTCACAACCTAATCTTAGAAGCCAACAACTTGGAAATATCTCACAATATCTAGTCAGCCATTAAATCTTGTCCATTATTCTCCCTACATATCTTAGAATCATATCTCCGCCATCTCTCATAATTTTTACAGTTTTTTTTAACTCCTCTCTAACTCTAATCATGTCTTTTTCTTATCCGTCTCTGCATTGCAACAGTCAGAATTATTCTAAAACATAGATCATTTCACTCTTCAGTTCTTTAATGAATTATTAAAGGCAAATATTCAAAGAACTAAGCTAATATAGTCCAAGTGTATAGTTTCTCTTAGATTTGCTTATATGATGAATAATAAGGAAGAATTTTTTGTTATTATTTGCTTCTATATATCTGGGAATATTTCTATTTTAGAAATGAGAATTGGTCAATAAAGTTACCTGGCCGTAATCACATATCTAATAGGACTTAAGATAGATCTATGTTTCAAAATCATATTCTTCCTCTAACCATTACTAGCCACCATCATTTCCCCAAACATCCATGCCTCTGCACAGCTCTATAGCATTAGACCTACTGCCCCTCTTGCAATAATACCTCTTCTTCTTTTGCTAACTGACAAATTCCTATCATTTTTAAGATCAATCTGATTTTACATAATATGAAAGCTTTCCAGACGAATGTTTTTGACTTCTCTCAACCCCCAAATTGTATTTTGACACCACATGGTACAAATTATTTTTACAATATCTCAATACATTACAGTTTTACTGTAAATAAATCTGTTTCTTACACTAGTTTAAAAGATCCGAGTGGCAATATTTTGCCTTATTTATCATTGTGTATGCTGTTACTTAGCACAGCATTTAGTACATAGCTTGAGTTGATAAAAAATATGTTTGCTTTAATTCCTTGAAATGGTTTTGAATTCTAAATCTGAGTCAGTGAGTCCAAACTGGCTAAGGAAGTATAGTCAGTGAGTCCAAACTGGCTAGATAATAAATTACTTGAAACATAGACATAGCAACAAAATATAAAACTCTTAGGCAATGTGCCATTATTTTGTGAGTCATTTTATTTAATTCATCGAAAACATCACATTTTCAAGTGTATTTATTTAATTATTTGCATTTATAATATTCTGACTTGTTCCAAAAGTATTTCAGGCAGTTTATCAAAAGAATGCATGCACTTAAACTAAAGTTAAATAAAATACAAATAAAATTAGAAAACCGAGATGAAAGAAAATAGACTCAAATACATTCATCTTTGGGCCAGTACATTAGCTGCAGTCCATAGCAATAGTAGTTGAGCTTCAAATTCTTGCCTTCTTGGTGACCAAAGTAACCCCTTGGGGGAGGGAAGAGTTATTTTTATTTGGATATACACATTTTCTCAGAGAAAAACTTTTCCTTACACTGAAATTGCCTTTTGAAAAAACAAAATATCATTGTTGGCTTTTTTTTTTTAATTAGGGGAAGCTGGGTACTGTAGCAAGTGATGTCAAATTTTTCCCAATAAACGCAATAATGGATTTCATATTGATGTTTCTTGTAGTCCCCTTCAATAAAAGCTGAAGGCATTACATTAACATACAACTCAGTGAAAGCAATTCTTCAAGGAGCTAAGCTAATATGGTCCAAGTATATAGCTTTCTCATGGTCCAATTTATTCCAAGAAAAGACTTTAGAGTACTTAGAGAAGTGGATGGACTGTTTAACCTTCAAACAATCTTCTGTAAGTATCACTTTTCTCAGTCAGGATGATTAGTAGACAGTTAACAATAGCATTATCTGACCAATGAGCATGTTGTTATTTTACAAGTAATGGGCTTTCTAGTAGCCACAATAACTGTAAAAAGGCAACATGGTATGATAGAAAAAGTATAGATTTGCACTTTGGAGACCTGTTTTTTTTTTTTTTTTTCCTCCAAAGCCTATTATATTCAATGTTTGAATGAGAATCCCATTTCTTTATTGTAAGGAACAGCCACTAAGATTCTTTCTGATTCCAAACCATGTAACTATTATTTGCACTCAAATACTAGGTCACTTTACTCATAGGTATATTAGCTAGAACATCAGCTGAAGTTACTAGCAAATTATTTTCTCTACCACTCATAGGAAGTCAAGATTGTTTTGACACCATGGTGCAAGACATTTTAATTTCTGTAATCTGGGTTTTTCTAGACTTCATATTTTAAATATATAGCCAAAAGACCTCAGTAGAATAATACCCTCAAAATATGCCTAAGTCTAAGTCTATTAAACATCATTTAAAAATGGAAAATCAATTTGTGTGGATTATATTTCCTTTTTATTCCACTTCATTGACAGCTGAAGTCAACAAACTATGTAACAGCATAGTTTATTATTCCCCCACCCAGATAGTATATAAAAATACATATTTTTTATTTTGTTTACAGATCAAATCTTCACATTCTAATATGAGATCTAAATCACAAGTAAAACGGCTTCTACAAGCATTGCTTTTTTTTTTAAATTGAGCCTGTTTTATTATTTCCCAGTGTTACACATCTGTAGATGGTGAAATTGAGGATATTCAGGAGGCTTACATAGCAGAATTATAGAATAAGCTGTTAAATTCTGTATCTATTGATTGATAAAGTATTTATTATAGTTTATGAAACATTACCTTAAGTTATGCTTTATATGTTACATATACATTTTTATCATAGTAAGCATTTTAGTTACATGCTGCTCATTTTATATTAAGCAAACGTTTTTGAGCCTGCTCTGAGCCAAGAAGTATGCTAGGAGCTCTGTAGTACACAGTCTGTGTCTTCATAGAGCTAACAATGAAGTGAAAGAAAAACAAAAGAAGAGTGAAAGATATACATACATGTTTCATTATAGATGTGATCACCAGAATCCTGCTGAAAGGCATGAAATGGCAACTAAGTGCAGACAATGGAAAGTGTTGTCTCAGTCGATGTGACTCAAAGCTAAGTCAATGTTAGCCTGGTAATGGTAAGGAGGAAACCAGGGGACAATATGGCGTTAATTACCAGTTTGGGCTGAATTGTGTTACCAGTTGCAGGTTAGGGAGTACGAGTGAGTGTACAGATTTCTGCAGGAAGTGAGAGTTCATGGAAGCTGAGTGCATTTCTAGACATTTTTGTTTTAATTACCTGTGGGATATGCAGGTAGAGAAGTCTAGTGAAACTTAGTGGTTAAGAATTCTGGAGAAATACTGTATCAGTTATTCATGCATAGGTATCTAAAGCCACGAGAATTACTGACAATTAATAGAAAATAGTGTCAGTTTGCCTTCCTTTCCTCCAGTCTCCTTCCAACTGATCTCATTCTCAACTTTTAACATTACCTTTTTTTAAAAAAAATGACTTCAGAAACACAGTGTTTCTATGTGTGTATTTTTGGCTATACCTGGCCTTACTCTGAAAATGATAGGAAGTGTCTTAAAGTAAAAATGCAGCATTAGATTAGGCAACAGGAAATTAGGCTGTACGAACTATCAGAATTTTTCTAGTTATCAAAAGAAACAAAAAATTTTTGTATAGGAGCACGAACATTAAAACATTCACTCATGGAAATGAGTATTGTGTTTAATCATTAACACAAAAGTTTCATTGGGCTATTTCTCTTCAGGTTCTGAGTGTAAGCTAAAAGTTACACTAAACAAAGTAAAACCAGTCAAGTGGCCCAAGGACTCAGCCTGCTGATGGTCTGGCTTGATCCAAAGCTGCACGATATTTAAAGAGGTCTCTATAGTGAAATTTGTCCCAACGTAGTTATTTTTCATAAACATTGATAGTGAATAGGGCAATGTAATATCTCTTGGTTATAATTTAGGTAAGCTATGCTTATTTTTTGGTACTATCACTACCAAATCTGTCTCAAAAAGAATATTAATAATATATAGTATATAGACTTAATCTTTAGGCTCTTCTTTAGAAGATCTTAGAATTGTAAGTCAGCTATGAATTCAACAGTATTTTTTCTCCATAAACACGGTTTTTATTTTAAACAAAGAGAAACAGATTGCTTTACTATAGATTTGTAGTTATTACTTTCAAATAGACTAAGGGAGTTATTTTCCCCTTTAAAATGAGACTTTGTAAAATTCTGAGCCAGAAAAGCTTTGCTGAGTTGTGGCTAGGAATTGAGAAGATTTAGCACCATAGGAATGCCCTGCCCTTCATTCAGTGAATTGGTAAGAAATTACGGGTGCCAACAACTGGGTTATTAACTAAAAATAGCACTTATAGCTGTTATATTTTGCTTACTTCGTCCTGAAAATGCTAGTTTCCAAGTCACAAGAGAGCATTTTTGAAGCCAAAACCACTACCTTGTTCAGTTCTGAGCCCTATTCTGAAGTTTACACTGATTCAGAGATTGAAGCCATACTTTAAACAATGAAGAAAATAAGACAAATTTTGTTATTTATGCTGTCAATAAAAATTACAAACACAACTTGGAAAGAGTTTTAACCCTGCTTATTAAAGAGTCTTTAGTGTTAGCATGGAACAAAAAATGCCAACATACAAATATGCAGGATGGATATTGGGCTGGTATGTGTTGCTTCTGGTTGTTTATAGCCAATGTCAGTTCTGATCGGTTAGAGTATCTGTTCAGATTACTTAGTCCCTCTGCTCTAGAGTTTTTCAAAGATTTTGTACCTGTATTTACTGGACATATAGGTGAAATTGGAGGATCTTCAAGTAGGGGCAGGAATATGTTGGTTAAAATTAGTACAGGGCTTCTAGCTGTAGACTCCTGTTACAACAACAGACATTTACATTTTGTGTTTCTTTGTCTAAATGTCTAAATACTACACCATAGTTCCTCATCCAACATAAATGTCCTACTTTTACAAAACTCTCCTTGAGATCTTCAACAAAATATGTTTCTTCTTCTACCTAACACATAATAAAATATATTGCCTTTACATCTTGTACACCAGTAATCACTGCCTGGTTTGTAACAGTTACGATTTGCACTCCATTAGGAAAATACATGTTTCTCAATGTGCTTAGAACAATACATTTGTCCATTTGTTTATCAGGACAGTTTGATATACCTTTAATCTTCCTTTTGTCAAGTTAGAAGCTAGAGAAAAACATTAAGAAACTTTCTCAAGGCCCAGATTCTTTATATGTGCAATTTGATACCATTTTAAATGATGTTACAATTTGGTTCAAATAATAATATAAACACATGCATTAGAAAAAAAAATTATGTTATTATTTGAACCACATGGAACCAGTTGTAACATTATATAAATTACAAATTGCAACTTATATACATTGTAAGTTAAAAAGTCATTTTTGAAGATTGACCTAGTGGTATAAAACTCAGCAAGGATATTTTAGGAAAAAGCATACTCCCAAGTCTCAAACAGCTTCCTCAGACAGAAAGTCATACGGCATGGTGTTTAAAAGAAGAGGTTTAGAAGTCAGATACATCTAAGTTTGAGTGCTTTTTCAGCCATTTAATAGACAGGAGACTGATCAAGTCACAAAACTTTTTTAGCCTTCATTTTTGAACTTATATCATGGGATTAATAAGGGAATTTAATTCCTATCTCACAGTGAGATTTCACCTTGGCTAACAATTAACCTGACACATCCTAGTGCTCAAAAAGTGTTAGCTGTAATTTCCTTATCAGTCTTTGAGTTGAGGATTGTCCTCCATTTGTAACATGGAAACTATATGCATCATTACTGAAAAAGAGATGCTCTGTAGCGTTTATAAATTTACAAATGGTGATCCCACATCCCTCCTTTTTTCATAGCTAGATCTGGAAGAATGTCAGCAGGGTAAAGAGCAGAGGGAGAAACCCAACCCAGTGAAAGATGAGTAATCCATGGCTGTTTTTAGATTCTCCTGGGCTTTTAGAGTTCCTTTCTTAACTTATTTGAACACTTTAAGAAATCTTAATGAAAATAACTAAGAGTCAAAATTTTATTGTAGAACAATTTTTCTTCTATCTCAGTTTCTTGACACACACTCATTATGTTGGGTGATTCACTGCTATCTGAATTTACATTGTATTTAGATAACTAACAATATATTTGTATTAGTAAAGAAACACGGATACTGTTTATTTTTCATTTTATTAAATAAATTATATTTTAATTCACTGATGTGGCTACCTTGTAGAAGGCTTCATGCTAAATGCTAAGATTACAAAGGTAAACAAGACAGAAGCAGCACCAGACTTCATTGAAAAAGAAAGCAAGATGTCAATCAAATAATCATATGACTAAGAAATAACACATTTTGAAAAGTGTCATAATGGAAACAGGATGTTATGAATGAGAATATATGGAGACCAAATATATGTTTAGTTAGAGCACGCTTAAGAAAGTCCTTTCTTAGGAAATGGCATTTGAACCAAGACCAAAATAAGAGAAGGAATTGGTGGTCACGTGTAAAATGGAATGGGGAGAAGATATTCCAGGTTTTCAAAATTGAGGTGTTTTGGGCTGGGGAACTATCATGATGAGAAACATGGCATGAAAGCAAGAAAGTATTTTGAAAACTAAGTTTATTTCAGGGGAACCGGTATGTAATGAGCAAAAGAAAGAAGCCATGATTTTTTTTTTAAATGTTGTTTTAATTCTAAGTTCCATGAAATAGTATTTAAGGGATGTAAGCATAAAATTTAAATGATCCAATTTTTGTCTTAAAAAAGATCCCTGTGACCATACTGTGTCTAATGATTGGATAAAATCAAGCCAAGCTAGAAGAACACAAAATCCAGGCAGGAGATGATAGTGATATAGACAAGAGTTTGTGATGACTGAACAAGAATCTGTGATAACTGAACTGGAGATTATAAAGAGAAACGGAATGAGCTGAGCAAAATTCCAAGAGTTTGAATTGTATTCTCCTCCTGTGTTTCTAGTATTTGTTGCACTGCCATCTTCATAAGGTTACAGTTTCCCATCATCTGAGTAAAGCATTGCTGTATGATTTTGACATGAGGTGGGAGGGAATCCTGTTTCGAAGCTACGAATGTGGGATCATTCATTGTAGATTATCATTCCTCTTGTTAAAATATTTCTACATTTCACTTATTCAATCATTCATTTGACAAATACTTGAGTGACTCATGAGTAAAAAAAAGTTATATTGTTTTATTATTTATTATTTTATTTATTTGCTTATTATTTTTTGAGACAGAGTTTTGCTCTTGTTGCCCAGGCTGGAGTGCAATGTTGTGATATTGGCTCACTGCGACCTCCACCTCCCAGGTTCAAGCAGTTCTCCTGCCTTAGCCACTCGAATAGCTGAGATTACAGGCATGCTCCACTACAATTTGCTGATTTTGTATTTTTAGTAGAAATAGAGTTTCTGTATGTTGGTCAGGCTGGTCTCAAACACCCGACCTCAGGTGATCTGTCCACCTTGGCCTCGCAACGTGTTAGGATTACAGGCGTGAGCCACCACGCCCTGTCTTCATATTGTTTTTTAAGGTTGTATTTTTCTATTGTTTATTTTCCATGTCAACCACAACAAGATTCTCCAGGAAAGTGGTACCATTAATTTTACTCTGGGGGTTTTCTCACCCTAATGGATTTGGGATTTAATAAGCACCTTTATTTATTTTCTCAATTTCTGTTTTGTTTTGTTTTGTTTTGTTTTGTTTTTTGAATGCGTGATGATTTGTATTAGGATACTTTCCTTCAGAATTTGAAGTGGACTTTAGAAAATGTTATGTAGGAGACTCAACTCACACTCTCTTAATTTTTGTATTTTTCAATAGAAAAAAGAAAAGGCGTCTGTTATGATACAGAACAATGCTTATGCAGTGGCTGTTGCCAATTATGCCCCGAATCTTTCAAAAGATCCAGTTCTCTCCACCATCTCCAAGAGTGCAACCACGCCAGAACCCAACAAAAAGCCGGAAAACAAGCCAGCTGAAGCCAAGAAAACTTTTAACAGTGTTAGCAAAATTGACAGAATGTCCAGAATAGTTTTTCCAGTTTTGTTTGGTACATTTAATTTAGTTTATTGGGCTACATATTTAAACAGAGAACCTGTATTAGGGGTCAGTCCTTGAATTGAGACCCATGTTATCTTTGGGATGTATAGCAACATTAAATTTCGTTTGTTTTGCTATGTACAGTCTGACTAATAACTGCTAATTTGTGGACCAACATGTACAGTATGTATATAGTGATACAGCTTACCAGTAGACCTTTAATGGAGACATGCATTTGCTATCTCATGGAACTGCAGACAGAAAGCACTCCATGCCAAAAAATTCATTGCCTTTTTTCAAGATTTACCCTTGAACCTAATTTTAAGTGGATTTCAGATGACCTGATTTATTTCCTATCCTTCGAATAGAGATGAAAATGGGAATCCTGTACAACCTTTTATGGACCCTTTTGGTTTAACTCTTAAGTAGGGGTATTTTCTACTGTTGCTTAGTTATGATGGAAGATAACATTGTCATTCATAGGTTAATTCTTCTAAGTAACAGAACATTGTATCTGCAACATCATCTCCCTTCATGAGTGCTCAGAATCCCTGCTAATGTAATTGGAAGCTTGGCACATATAAGAAAAACTAGAGATTTGAAATCAGCTTTTAATTACTCTGTATAGAATATATAGCCATGTACATATTTCAGCATGACAAATTCAAATAATTATGAGTCCGCCCGACAGGATGTTAATTATGCCTATGATTTAATAACTACTGGAATGTCATGGTCATTACATTTTTAGTTTCAGAATTTATTTGAAAGTAATAATTGAAATCCTACAGTTTATTTCAATCATTGGAAGCTACCTTAATTTAAAAAAAAAAAGAAAATAAATGTGTCTTACTCTTTCCAGGTATGTGTTGTATTGAAATTGATCAGCTAAATTTTATTGGTGCTGGACACTGGAAAAAGCATCCAGTTTGGTTGCTGTGGAGCAACATGCATATTGGATTAGAAAATTGTGCCAAAAACTCCCACTGATGAGAATTCATAGGTGTCCCACACTACAATGAGCACTTATCTGATTCTCCTCTTTCCTGTTTACTGCAAATTCTGCCTTAAGGCTTCTTTTCAAGACTCAGAAGCCACTAATTATAAAGGAAAGGGCAGTTAATTGGCACATTTTTCTGTTGTGAAAGCAGTTCTTTCAGACAAGAATTAATGTAAATCTGCTTTTGTAAATTGCAACTTTAAATTTCGCTGACTCAAGTTTACAACAGCTTTGTATACCAGAAGAGATTTTGGTAAGTGTTGAACATTTTTACACTGCAACTTTAAAACATCACCAATAGATTGTGGGTCATTTCACATGCACAAACAAAACACACACACAGGCACACACACACACACACACACACACACACAAACACAAACACAGCTAAATTAGAAACTACAATTTTTAATTTTATATAATTACTATTAATGGGTAAAATTCATTTTTCTTTTAATATTTTAAAATATATTTACATCCCTGAAATATGCGAATAAAAGTTAAAAATTGTGTATATTCCTAGATTCAAGGTTTTTGGCAAACTTCAAATACTTTTGATTGACATGTACGTTAGCAGTTATTAGTTGACTTTTCCTATTAGATGCACCTTTGCAATGGTGTTTTTGTAGAAACATAAGTAATCAAATAGTGACATTTCTTGCAGTTTTGTACAGTATTTGAGTATAGTGCATAAATAGGTATGTTCATAAAATCAATAAAAGGAATATCTATGGAAATAAGCAAAATCTCAACAAAATTGCTATTCCTTTGCCTCATTTATTTTTTTTTTTAATTTTCTTTGTTTCAATGTGATTTTATTATATGTTTTGCATGACTGTATAATACCAAGGTCACAAATGCATCTTATTAATGGAATTTGCCAAGAAAACAGCCTTGGTATTAAAAATTCCCTCTCAAAAGGTAATCCATAATCCTTAATAAAATAAAATTGTTATATGAGCCAATAAACGTATTTCTTTAATTCCCTCCCAGTAACACCTTCTTTGTCACCTAGTTTTAAAATGTGCACTTTATTTATACATTGAAACAGAAGATATCCTATTATACATTTAAATATAGCATAGCTCTTCTGTGTAGTTTAGGGATGTTTGTAATTGAATGAGAAAGTACACAACACTTGAAAGTAAGCAATGAAATTGCTTTATGTGGTATGCATTATTAGACAAGTTAAAAATATTTTTCTTGTAAAGTCAACATTGCCCCTTTAATGTATGACTATGAATTATAAATTTATAAATATGTGAATATGTAAAAATCATTGTAAATAAGAGTTTCTGTATGATCACAGAAAAGATTCATCTATACTTTAGGCAAAGAGCTGTTATTATGTTGATGGCACTAGTTTTGTTAGCATTTAAGAAGATTTACCAGGAAACTTATTATTGTTATTATTATTTTTAATTTCAGTTGTTAAAATTTTATTTGAGCACAATGACATTCTGACAATTTAGATTTTTCAGTAATATGGATCAGAATTCTCTGTAATTTCACTAGAGATGCTTCATGTAAATTGCTTTTAAATTACAGAACAAGATTTTCAACAATTATTCTCCTTTCCATGAACCAATTTAAAAACAAACTAAAAGAATGTTAATTTATCACAATAAGACCAATTTTTCAGGAAATACATTTTACATATACTAACACTGACTAACACTGATCTCTTTGGCCTATAAGATTATACCTATTTTATGCAGTTATATAATCACATAAAGTGTTATGGTATTTACAAAATGTAGATAAATACATGTACATATCTAGAAGTATAATCTCATTATTTTATAGCTGCTACTCTGATTCAACTAATATTTATTCAAAAATATTTTACCTCCTCTGTCATGCCCTGAAATCGGTGTTAATAGTACTCATGTAACATCCACTGAATTTAGTTAAAATTTTAAGTGCATCTCAATCTTTTAATGACTTGAAATTAAAAACTATATAAAACATTTAAACTTACTAAGTACTGGGAGTTCTTTAATGAGCTATGATACCACTAGAGTGGTAAGGTGGTAGCTGTTTTTCTCTTTTCTCCTGTTCATGTTCCTATATGTTTTATTATGAAATGGAACAAATAGAACCATTTAACAATTTTTTAAAAAACTTTAATGGTTTTATTAAGTGCCAGTCTTAAGGTTTAGAAATCTATTCAGGGATTTCTATGTTTTGAATTGATTTCAGGCTTGGATAAGTGGTCTCCTTGAGCCGTGTTTCTAAATTTTTTTTCTTAAATAGTTCATAGTTTATTTTTAAAAAAACAACACAGAAGCTATGATTTCACTCTCATTTTTTTTTTTTTTTTTGGTAAGTATACTTTGGTAAATATAACTGGGGGGAGGTAGATATACAATTGCATTTATGTGGCTCTTTTGGAATTCCTGGTTGAGGGACAGGAATCCTGCCATGATATAATCATGGATTCTACAAGAGCACCAAAGTTTTAGAGGTACTTTACTTTGGCATGGCCTGTCATCATTCCAGTGAAAGAATAAAGGAAATAGCTCAAGTCACCTTCTGCATTATCATGGTTCTTCAGCATGACAAAAAAAAAAAAATTGTTTAAGGCATTCTATGCCTAATACCCTCAGATACATGTTTGTGAAACATAGGCATAGTTATTTACTTACTTACTTGGAAATACAAAGTCTTGTTAATAGATTACTAAACAGATTATTTGCGTTATTAGTCTCCTGGCTCACCTACATTCATCTGGATATTTTTGAAGCAATGGCCAAAATTTTTATCATATGAAAAGATTCAGAATTTTAAGTGAATTGGTACCTGGCTCATTGCTGCCCTATAGTTCCATTTATTTTCCATTTAATTGAGGTCCCATAGGCACCTTGTGCTTCCCCTTTACTAGTTCAAACTATGCAGAAGTGTAAAATTTTAATTGGGGAAGGATGGTTATTTTTGACATCTGAATGGTTAAGAAACATGGATACTATATTAAAACCACTTGTAATAGAGTGGACCAGACAGTTATAGTTTTATCTACTGAATTCATGCTTTAAAAATAAAAGTAAATATTTAATATAATTATTTCATATTCATAATATTTTGCTATTAAAATTTATATTAAATATATTAATATTTTCCATCAGTATTTAAAAGCTCAGATTATTGGAGAGAAGAACCCACAAGAAATGTGAGGCTGTTGCTTATTAAACCAAGCAAAGCATATTTTCCTTTTTAAACTTCTGAGAAAGTGGGTAAATTATACATATGTAGACCCACAAATATTTTAAGAGTCTTTATTCTATTTTAGATAAATTATACATATGTAGACACACAAATATTTTAAGAGTCATTATTCTATTGTAGTAAGCATCATAACTAAAATACTGAAGTAGAGAAAGTTCATGTGAAAGACATTTGGGAAAGTAATAACTTATTCAAAATCTGCTTGTAAATATTATATACCATAACTGTTTTTTGCTAAAATTCTTAATTATCAACATATATAGACCGCTGTGTCTTCCATCTTGTTTAGTTGAAATATTCTATTTTTGTTTGTTTATATATAAAGAACAATGTGTACCGGTAATTATACATCCCACCTCAAACTACTTGATGATGTATTTAATACATAACATTACCTAATATTGCCAATAGGAAAGAACAATTAACAGATTTATGTTTCAGCTTACAGTAATGTTCCCAAAGATCTTTTAATAAGGTCTTAGCTGTATGTGTCAGTGATGTATGTATGTTTGTGAGTGTGTATGTGTGTAATTCCTAGGTATGTATGGAAGAATATTTTGAGAAATTTGAATAAATTTATGAAATGTAAAAAATTTGTTTTATTAATGGATCCAATCACAAATTCAGTTCTTATTAAACTAACAACTTGACCAATAGAATACCTTTTTCAGTAAATCCATAACAAACATTAATTAGAATTAGGTTTGTGGTATGTGTATGATTAAAAATATCTTTTCTATGTTTCTGTAAACATTTTTCCAATGTATTTCTGTTGTTTTTTTTTAAAGATAAAATTCAAAATGATCTCGCAATTCTGCTTTGTGAAATAGAATAGAAACATCTTTGAATGCTAAGTTTCTCAATGGAGGCTTACATAAGCTGTTTTAAAAGTTAAACATTTGGTTATTTACAAATACAAAGTCATCTATATTCAATACTGGTTTGTTTCATACCTTGCTTTTTGAATTGCAAAGATTCTGAGTATAATTATTAGAAAGCTTATAACATACTAGTCAATGTTCTAAGATTTTTATACATATTAGTTCATTCAGTCCTCACAACAGCCATAATCACTGTGTGATTCTTGAAGTTCTGGAAATCTAGAATTTCTATATAGTACGTAATCAACATACCAGTTTACATATATTATAAGAAAAGTAAAAGAAAGAAAGAAAGAAAAAAAATATGTTTTTTTTTTTGCTTTAATTCATATTTATATTTATGCCTTTTGGGGGATATCCATGCAATAAGGAAGCCAATAGATGCTTTTCTTTTTTGTTTTTTTAATTTTTATTTATTTATTTATTCTTTTTTTTAAAATTGCATTTTAGGTTTTGGGGTACATGTGAAGAACATGCAAGATTGTTGCATAGGTACACACATGACAGTGTGGTTTTCTGCCTTAAGATGCTTTTCTATACAACAAAACAAACAAGCAAACAACAAGTGAAAAACAAGCACTAGACAAGAAAACTACTACACAGAAAGCAAGTACCCATTTTTGTGATGCTAGCTATTTACTGACTTGGTTACAATTTAGTTTCTGGGAATATATTACAGTTTTCTTTTTTGGTTCACAAGTAATGATCATGTATTAAAAATGATTGTTGTTGATTAAGCAAAAGTAGGCACTGCCTTCATTTTCTTTTTTCTTGTTTTGTCAGTTTTATTTGTTGTTGGAGAAATTTGTTTTTATTTGCTGTATTATTGGATTTCCAGGATTGGACTACAAGGATTATCTATTGATTTCATCAAACATTTTGTTGTAAATTACTGTTAAAAGAATGAGCCCTGAATTGATCCCAATAGATGCCATTGGTGGGACTGTAAGTATTTAATTAACGTACTAGATTGGAAAATGTCAATTTTCCATGCTTCTTTTTAGGAGAATTCACCATAACATGATGCCAAAATACAAATTTATATTGTTGGCTATATATGAATATTTCCAACAAAGTTTATTTGTCAAAACACTGATGCTAAGAAAGCAAGCAGAAAATTACAGAATTACTTTAAAAATATTAGTTATAGATTGTTCACAATTTATTTTTAATGACTATGTTGAAGCAATTGGCTGTGCTTTGAATTTAGCATAATGTGTAAAAACGTGTAATGTGTAATTAGAAAGAGATAAAACTC